TTCCTGGGGATCCATTGGGAAAGGGCAGTGTCAGGAGGAAGGAGCCAGGCTCTGCTCTGGGATGGCCAATGCCAGGACAAGGGGCAATGGTCCCAAGCTGGAGCACAGGAGGTTCAAGCTGAAGATGAGGCCAAACTTTGTCAGTGTGAGGGTGCAGAGCATGGCCCAGGCTGCCCAGAGAGGTTGTGGAGTCTCCTTGTCTGCAGACACCCAAAGCCCTGGCCGTGTTCCTGTGTGACTGCTCTGGTGATCCTGCTCTGGCAGGGGTTGCACTGGGGGAGCTTTCCAGGGCCCTTCCAACTCCTGACGTTCTGTGATTCTGTGTGATGCTCCTGGGAGGTGCTCGTGGAGGCTTTGTTGGGTGGGATGATCCATAAACATGGTTAGAAGTTGGTGGTGGTACTGGAAGGTGTGATCCATCCACAAGAGCAGCTTGAGGAGCTCTTTAGGACTGAGGGGTCTTGCTGAGGTGAAGGACTCTGACTGGTTAAGCTGTGAACAGCCAACTCCTGCACCATCGGCTTGGATTCTGCTCCTGGAGCCCTTCCACCCCTCTGGAAGGGGAGGCTGGGGCCAGCTCGGGCCTCCAGAGCACAACCAGGGCTGAGCGGGGGCGTCCTGCAGGGAGGAGCAGGAGCAGGACTCGTTCTGAGCACCACTGTCCATGGCATCTCTGCTCGATGGCTTTAGCAGCGCCACTTCCTCCCTTTCCACGCGTGTGCTCAGGTTCCTCTTGACGCCCTTTCCACAGCATCTTTGTGTGAGTCGGTGTCTAAAGCTGTGACAGCTCCCAGCTTTGATCTCATCGTGAACCTGCGTAGAGAAACATTCGCTCTTCACCATTTAATTTCTGAGGCTTTGAGGTTTTGAAGCGCCCCACACGTGGGCAGAAACGTTTGCTGAACAGGACTGCGCTCAGAGCTGCACCCGGGCGTCTGGGTCCGGTTGTGGTTTGGGTTCGGCCCCGTCGCGCTGCGATCGTGTGAGGTTGTTTCTGCAGGAGCTGCTGCGGGTGCAGAGGTGGCGTTTGTCAGGTTTCCTTGGTGCTGCAGCTGCATTTCCCGGCGCTGTGGAGCGTGGGATGTGGTGGTGTTGGTGTGTGGACTTCTTCAGGCAGTTCCTGACGCCTGACAGCACTTCCCACAGCTTTGGTTCACTCAGGAGCCCCTGTGAGGCCGTTGGTGGGAGATGCTGTGTTGAGACCTGGTGTGGTCATTGGGGTGAACTCAAACTTCATAGGTTTAGGAGTGCAGGTGGGAAAGGACCTCCCGAAGTCTCTGGTCCAGCCCCCAGCAGCAGCCCAGGGTGGCCATGGCTTTGCCTGGCTCCCAGGGATGGAGAATTCTGGGCCCAGTGTTCCCAGTGCAGCTCCCCAGCGGGGGCTGTCCACGTCCCTGCTCTGCTGGGCGCCTTCAGCACAGCCCAGGACGGGGTTTGCTGTGTCTGTGCCCCAAGCTGCTCCTCAGCAGGGTCCGTGCCAGACCCTCAGCTCCCAGCATGGGCCACTTGGGTCCTTCAGGAGCGGTTGGAGCCCTCGGGGCCCATAACTCCTCACTGCTGTGGTTCTGTACCAGGGCCTTGCTCCTCGCCTGTGGAGCACCGGGACCAGGCCATAACCAGTAAAAACTGGGGTAAACTCACCCAGTTTCTCTTCAGTATCATCCTCTTTGTGACCTGCTGCAGCAGATCTGCTGAGCATCTCGTGGCCTTCCTGCCTTGTGCATGTAACAGGTTGGTTTGGTTTTTTTAGCAGCTTTTACATTGCATCTTCACTCAGCACCGCGCTCTGGTTTGCCGCAGGCCGAGCAGGTTTATTGCTCTGCTGGGGCTGGGGCTGGGGCTGTGTGTGCTGCTGAACTTCGTGGCCAAGGGAGATTGTGGGAGCTGATCCTTGGCAGCCCCCGGTTGCCTCTTGCTGTTGCAGTTTGTCTTGAGAAGTTGCTCACAGATGTGGGGGCTCCAGTCGGGTTTCTCTGCTCGCAGCCCGCGGGTCTTTTATCTGGGAATCTGTGTAGGTGCTCAGAGTTTCTGGATTTCGGTTTAGTCTCTGAAGTTCAGGGGTTTTGCAGGGCTCCTCCCACGCCCGGCTTGAACTCGCTGTGTTGTCAGCATTTCTGATTCACTGCGCTGGGTTCTTGAGCCGCCTGGCGTCACGGGGAAGCGCTTGGGGAGCCGGTGTTGAGGGTCTGATCTCGCAGAGCGGCTTCTCATCGAGGTGTCTCTGCGGCGCTGGCGGCGTAGGGGATGTGTGGGGCACAGAGCTCTAGGGCAGATATGAGCCTGAATGAGTTCACCTCCGGGCTGTGGCTTCCCCCATCACTCGGCTGCTCCCATGGAGGGCGCAGTGGCCGGGATCGCAGGGTGGCACCAGCGAGCGCCCCGGGACTGAAACCAAGCCCTGAAAAGCTGTTCCCATCTCAGGTCTTACAGATCGACGGACGGACGGACGACCCCCCAGCTGGGGAACCCCTCGACGCCGCAGCCGGCATCCCCCGAGCTGGGCAACTGCCACTC